CTCATCATGTTTGTTAGCGACGCTACCACGTCACAATTATTCAATTTATATCTTTGTTAAACACATTCTTTATATGGAAACATAACAGCCTTGTATTGAATATATTGAACTATTTTCTATATAATGAAGAAAATCTTTTTTTTTCAGATTACATTGCACTGAGAATTAAGTTATGCGTTTTTAATTAGCCGGTTTGAGAGATTTTATAAACAGACATGTCCGGGCATTTAGCAGACATTTGATCTTGACTAAAGGGGACTCTTTATGTTAAACTATCGCTTAGCAATCAAACCATCAATTCCCCAACATCAGCGATGTTTGCAAGTGAATGTGAAGTTATTTCAGGCCAATTAAGTTTGTTAAAAACTGCACATCTGTTTATCAATTTATTTGTTCATAATTCCATCTATTTGTCTGTTCATCAATTATTTGTTCATAATTCCATCTCTTAGTCTGTTCATCAATTACTTGTTCATAATTCAATCTATTAGTCTGTTCATCAATTACTTGTTCATAATTCCATCTATTTGTCTGTTCATCAATTATTTGTTCACAATTCCATCTATTAGTCTGTTCATCAATTATTTATTCATAATTCAATCTATTAGTCTGTTCATCAATTACTTGTTCATAGTTCCATCTATTTGTCTGTTCATCAATTATTTGTTCATAATCCCATCTATTAGTATGTTCATCAACTATTCATCTTTTCATAATTTCATATTTTTATATTTTAATATGATCATTTTTGATCATTTCATTTGCTAGTATGTTTGTCCGTTAATATGTTCATTTGAACTTCTCTTTATCTGTTTAAACCTTAATTTTTTCATCTGTTCATAATTAATCTGTTAATTTTTCGTTAGGTCATATGTTCATCTTTATCTTTACATCACTTTATATGTTCATCTTCATCTTGACATCACTTCATATGTTCATTTTCATCTTTACATCAATTCATATGTTCATCATCATTTTTACATCACTTCATATGTTCATTTTCATCTTTACATCAATTTATATGTTCATCATCATTTTTACATCACTTCATATGTTCATCTTCATATTTACATTACTTAAGCTCATCAGTTCATGTGTCATTCTGTTCATTAGTTCATATGTTAATTTGTTTGTAAGTTTTTAAAGGTGTTCATTTTTCATCTGTTGATCAACTCATTATTTCATTTGTTCATTGTTTCATAAATGTATCAGTTCATTTATTCAATTGTTCATCACTTTATCGTTCATCAGTTTTGTGTGCATTTGTTCGTATGAACTTTTAATGATTTTATCTTTTGGTCTGTAACTTTTTAATCAGTTAATTTCTCTTTTTTCTCTTCTTATTTTTATTTGTTCATCATTTCTACTGTTAATCTGTTCATCATGTTATCTCTTCATCTGTTTATTTGTTCATCTTATCATCTGTTCATCTGTTGAACTGTTCATCTGTTAATATATCAAACAATTCATCAGTTCATTTGTTAATCTGTTTATTTCTTCACCAGTTCATCTTTTCATTTGTTTATGAGTTCATTATTTCATCAGTCTACCTGGTAATAATTTCATCTGTTTATCTTTTCTTCTAATCATCTGTTAATGTGTTCATGTGTTCATGTGTTCATCTTTTGGTCATTTCATTAAATCATGTCTTGATTTGTTAATCATTCCATCAGTATATTTGATCATCAATTCATCTAATTGAAGTTTTATGAGACCATCTGATAATCTGTTTATATGTACAAGACATGTCAACAAGAAGCAATCGATACAATCCTACAAGAGATAGGAACATTATGTGTGGGGGGGGGGCGGGGGATCACGTCCTCAGGCAAGAAGATAAGGGGATCACGTCCACGAGCTGGGGGTTGAGGGTTCACGTCCACGGGCTGGAGGATGAGGGGATCACGTCCTCTGGCTGGAGAATGAGGAAATCTTGTCTACAGGAAAGAATATGAGGGGATCACGTTCACGAGCTGGAGAATGAGGGGATCACGTCCACAAGCTGGAGGATGAGGGGATCACGTCCACGAGCTGGAGGATGAGGGGGATCACGTCCACGAGCTGGGGGATGAGGGGATCACGTCCACGAGCTGGAGGATGAGGGGGATCACGTCCACGAGCTGGGGGATGAGGGGATCACGTCCACGAGCTGGAGGATGAGGAAATCTTGTCTACAGGAAAGAAGATGAGGGGATCACGTTCACTGGCTGGAGGATGAGGGATCACGTCCATGAGCTGGAGGATGAGGGGGATCACGTCCACTGCCTGGAGGATGAGGGGGATCACATCCACGGGCTGGAGGATGAGGGGATCATGTCCACGGGCTGGAGGATGAGGAGATCACGTCCATGGGCTGGAGGACGAAGAAATCTTTTCTACAGGAAAGAAGATGAGGAGATCACGTCCACATGCAGGAAGATAAGAAGATCACATCAACATGTAGGAGAAAGTGAAGATCGCGTCCACATGGAAGAGGACGAGCTGAACTTGTTCGGACCTGGGAGGAAGAGGAGATAGGTCAGCATGTAGGAGGATAAGAAGATCACGTCCACAGGCAGGAGGATGAGGAGATCACGTGCTCATGGGGAGGATGAAGAGATATCGCCAACTTGGCGGAGAAAGAGGTGATCATGTCCACATGCAGGAAAATGAGGAGATCACGTCCACATGTAGGAGAAAGTGAAGATCGCGTCCACATGGAAGAGGACGAGCTGAACTTGTTGGCAGCGGGGAGGTGCAGCATATTACGTACACATGTAGGTGGAGCTGATCACGCACACATGGAAGTGGAGCTGAGCACGTACACATGTAGGTTGAGCTGATCACGCACACATGGAGGTGGAGCTAATCACGCACACATGGAGGTGGAGCTGATCACGCACACATGGAGGTGGAGCTGATCACGCACACATGGAGGTGGAGCTGATCACGCACACATGGAGGTGAAGCTGATCAAGCACACATGGATGTGGAGCTGAACACGCTAGGTGGAGCTGATCAGGCACACATGGAGGTGGAGCTAAGCACGCACACATGGAGGTGGAGCTGATCACGCACACATGGAGGTGGAGCTAATCACGCACACATGGAGGTGGAGCTAATCACGCACACATGGAGGTGGAGCTGATCACGCACACATGGAGGTGGAGCTAATCACGCACACATGGAGGTGGAGCTGATCACACAAACATGGACGTGGAGCTGATCACGCAGACATAGATGTGGAGCTGATCACGCACAGATGTATGTGGAGCTGATCACGCACAGATGTATGTGGAGCTGATCACGCACAGATGTATGTGGAGCTGATCACGCACAGATGTATGTGGAGCTGATCACGCACAGATGTATGTGGAGCTGATGACGCACACATGGAGGTGGAGCTGACCACGCACACAGTGATGAGAAGCTGATCATTTCCCCGGGAAGGAGGATGCTTTGAATATGAAAGCAAGCAGGTGGAGCTAATCGTACACAGGGATGAGGAGCTGATGACGTGCACAGGGAGGAGCAACTGTTAAGTACATGAAGGAGGAGCGAATAACACACAGAGGGAGGAAGAGACGAACACGTGCATTGCCTCGAGAGTGAGTGGGGGAGACAGAGAGAGAGATAGACAGAGACAGAGATAGACAGAGAGAGAGAGAGCGAGACAGAGAGAGAGAGGGTGTGTTCGAGAGAAAGTGGGGGAGACAGAATGAGAAAGAGTGGGAGAAAGACAGAGAGATAGCGAGAGAAAGAACGAGAGATTAAGAGAAAGAGAGAGTGAACGAGAGTTGGATACATTTAAACCTTTCCAAGATCTACAATCGGCGATGTTGATAGAGTAAGCTGATCGAGAGCTATTCCCAGTGCTGCTGATATGGCAAGCTGTACGAGAGCTACATACAGTGCTGTTGATTTTGCAAGCTGATCCATAACTAAACATTGTGCTGTTGTTCGGGCTAGCTGTACTAGAGTTAAATACAATGATATTATAGGGCAAGCTGGAAGAGCACTAAATACAGTACTGTTCATAGGGCAAGCGGTACGAGCTCTACATTCATTGCTGTTGATAGGGTAAGCTGTACGAGATCTATAAACAGTGCTGTTGATATGGCAAGCTGTTCAATCACATACTGTTTAAGTGGCATCCTCCTGTAATGAAATCTTTTGTTTGTACAGAGTATCTTGATATGGATGAATCTATTGTTCCCATTGTTTCTGTACGATGCTCAGCTACGATTAAGCCTAATGATGTCGCCATTAAGTGTCGGTCGTGGTCCAACATCAACTCAGATAGAAGAATGGTGTTAGAGCGATTGAACTCGTTAAAACCTTTGGAACAAACAAATTTTTATGTTCAAAGACAATGGAGAAAAAACAATTACAAAAGCATTAAGAATAATTGTATGATCCTAACAGGAGTGGACATGTGCGGTCTTTGGCGTTGTGCATGCAGTGGCGTGCCTTTCACGACGGGTAGGGGGTAGTCTTTAGCAGGGGTTACCTAGTACGACTTAAAGGGGGTGTCGCTAAGAGATAGTGTGAAGGAAGTGAGTGTTAAATGGACTATTGAGAGAGATAGGGCGAGTCAAATATATAGAAAAATGATATGAGTGTTCGAGAGAAAGAGAGAATGGGGCAGAGAGAGTGAGTAATTGAAAGAAATAGTGAGAGATAGAGTCTGCGTGAGAAAGATTTAGGGAGAGATAGTGAGGGGGAGATATAGTGAGAGATAAAGAGAGAGAGAGAGAGAGAGATTGTGGGTGTGTGTGTGAGGGAGAATGGGTTGAGTAGAAATTTTCTAGTATTGTAAGATAAAAAGAAATTGCATGATGGTTCTTATTTTAAAGAGTCTCTGTGAGTTGCCCTGGTTTGGGAAGGATGTTATTATACACCGCATATTGATGTTTCTTCCATTTGCAAATCCGCCTCTGTATTTTGAAGCTAATGACAAGCTGGCCAGTTTTCGCCAGTTTTTTGTAAACCTCCAACACCTATTATGGCACACGCTTTGGCTGCTCTCCACATTGTTCGACGTCGACGCCATACCTGTGATCTGAGTGGTTCTGTCAAATAAAAGACTTCTTTTGATTCCTGGCTGACATGTAAGTCATCATCATCATGCCCCTTAGTTGTTGGACCTTTGAGGGCGCCACAAATGACATGAAACGATCCCGCCTCCACTTGTCTCTGTTGTCTGCGCCTAGCACAGCATCGCCTGACTTTATTGCCGCCCATTCTTCTTTGTTAGCTCCACTTCTTCTCCACCTTCTCCTTGCGCTCTGTATAATTTCTTTTTAGAGCCCTGTTGTCTTGTCTCGTTGCTAATATACTCCGTTCTCGTTTTTTTTTACAGTTCATAGGAAGTCATCAAACTACCCGATCGCTTGAAGAATTTTATCTTTGACTTGTTCGTTAGAGATATAGTCTCTATAGCAGATTCCAGGAATGCTTCTAAAACATCTCATCTCCACAGCCTTTATTTTTCTTTCACGATCACCTTTTATTGCCCAGGCCTCTCAGCCATACTAGAAAATGGAGAGTAATAATAAGCAGATCAGCCTGATTTTAGTACTGAGGCATTTATTTTTGTCATTCCATATTTCTTTTAGTGCTGTTGTGGTCTGGGAAATCCTTGACAACATTTCGTTCTTGGGTGCCTTTTATCGAGTATATTGCTCTAAGGTACTTGAAGCTGCCTACACTCTCTAAAATTTCCTCTACAAGCTTAATTTCAATTGAGATGCAAGAGGTGTTGTTTGTCATCAATTTTGCCTTTTCTGCACAGATTTGCATGCCAAAGGACGATGAAGTCTTTTCGACACTCTTTACCAAGTTGGCGAGCTCTTCTTCATTTCCAGCCAGTCCATCTATGTGATCCGCAAAACGTAGGTTGGTAATTGTTCTGCCACCGATGCTGACTGTCTCTACATGCACGTCCAGTGCATCTGACAACAATCTCTCCAAAAAGACTTTCAAGAGGGTGGGGCAGCCTTGTCGTACTCCAGCCTTGATCTTGAACCATTCTCAGAGATTATTGTTAAAAGAAGACTGCTCTGGTGGCCTTATAATAGAGGCTGCATAGCACTCTGGTTAGTTTTCTTTTGATGTTGTTGTGCCTCATGGTGGCCCAAAAAGTAACGTGCCAAAGCCAACAAATCTTTATGAAGTTTAAAAATAAACTGCAGGTGTCCGAGAGCCAATGAAATATTTGTCTTAGAGAGCCAATGAAATATTTGTCTTAGAGAGCCAATGAAATATGTGTCTTAAAAAGCCAATAAATACATGTCTCAGAGAGCCAAAGTAATATTTGTCTTAGTGAGCCAATAAAATCCTTGTCTAGAGAGGCACCAAGTGACTACTTGGATAAATGACCACATCGACAATGGAAAACACAGACAAATGACCACACATATAAATTACCACAGGGACAAATGAACACACAGACAAGGGACCACCTGCACAAGGGACCACTCTGACAAGTGACCATATAGACAAGATACAACACAGACAAGTAAACAGACAAGTGATCATACAGACATGTCACACATAGGCAAGTGACTACATGGACAAATGGCTACACGGAGAATTGAAAACTTAGACAAAGAATCACATGAACAAGTTACCCCATGGACAAGTGGTCACGCGGATAAGTGAATAAGTGACTGCAATGACGTGTGATCACATTGACAAGGAACCACACAGAAGTGACCACTCTGTCGAAAATGTTTTTTTGAAAATAACTGTTGCGACTGAATATTATGTTTGATTACGGTGTGTGTTTAAAAGATTAATTAGTTAGTGAACGGTGAACGTTCTTCACGCGCTTGACCTGGTGACCTATTTGTATGCTCATTGTGACATATTGCTTAGTCTGTATTGTGACGTACGTTTATTCATCTGGCAGTCGCGAATGGAATTTGTAAAAGGAGGATGTGTTTTAATTCTGTCTGATAACGAGCTGCGATACAGGTATGTGTTTGTGGAATTTACAGCCTGAGTATGTAATTAGATATTAAAATTATATTTATTTATATATATTCCTGGAGGAAACTTGGGGGCGTCCACATGGGATTTTTGCCTCTTCGTGGCAGACTAGTTGTAGTAGGGAGTTTTCTACCAAAGCTAAAAACCTTGGCCCACTGCATGACTCTCAACGCAACGGGAAGAATAAAATAACACGCTTATGTGTTGCAGTTAATGGTAGTGAGGTCTGGGTGGCTGTCAAAACCCTTGCAAATGATTTTAGGTACGCCACCCTGAGAAAGTAGCTCCTAGGCGACCGTTTCGTCCCCGCTGAAGTCCTAACCAGACAGATTCCTGGACAGTGGGGGTAGGTAACGCAACACCTTTCCTCCGTAGAAGAAGCAAAGTCGTTCAGGCCCAAGGAGAGGGAAACGCGAATGCTTTAAACGCAGCGTTCTCAGACGATCGGACATCCCCCCAGGCCAGGGGGAGGTTTCGGACGTGCTTCAGCATGGTCTGGTGGCAGGGAGACCCGGCGTCGACCCATGTGAGGGTGTGCCGGAGGGGGTTATTAAGAGTTCGCGCTCGACAACCCACTGATGCCAGACAACCCACTGATGCCAGACAACCCACTGATGCCAGACAACCCACTGATGCCAGACAACCCACTGATGCCAGACAAACCACTGATGCCAGACAACCCACTGATGCCAGACAACCCACTGATGCCATCTCCAATGTGACGTTTTCAGTAAAAACGTGGAGTTGAGGCACACAATCAAATAACCAGACAGACACATGACCACACGGACAAAGAAGCACACGGAGATATAAAATACTCTTGTGTCATTTTTGAGTAGGCGAGCCCAGCAAGAGAATTCCATTACTTGCGGAAAGAAAGAAATCACAGATAAAATGTAGTAGTTACAGAGAAGAATACCTACACATAGCTCTGTCCAAGGCTCAGAAAGAGCTTCGTGAAAGCCATGGACCTGACTTCATCACCTTTCGGATTACTGGCTGAAAAATTCCCACGATTCCAGGAAGTTAAATATGTGATATTATAAATGCGAGAGAAATCCAATCTATAGTTAATTTCGTATGAATCAAAATTTAACATTTACGTATTACAGTGGAAGGCAACCTATAGAGTCTACGGTTATAGTGGTAGTATACTTTTGACCTTCGTACTATATACTAAAATGTAGATAGTTTTAGTGTTATTATAGTATAGGCTATCGTGCTGTATGCTATAGAATCTATATTTATAGTGTGAGTATACAGCCCCCTGGGGCTCCGCTTGACATGTCTGGAGTAGCTTGACGACTAAAAAGGTGCCGCCATCACACGAAGCGCTACAATGGTAACAAAGCCACCATTGTATGGTAACAAAGCCACCATTGTATGGTAACAAAGCCACCATTGTATGAGCCTGTGAGGCCAGACAAAGGACATGGTGTTTGCCAAAAAGGTTGAAACTAAATGGCTACTGCCAGCTTTGGGCATGTTGCCATTGACGGATATCAGCCATCATGTAGTGAGTAGCTTTATCAGTCCAATGATTCTATATAGGCAGCCAGCGAGGAGGATGTTCCCATGCAACCATTTCCTTCCAAATATTTTTCTGAACTATTTGCGAGGTAGACCCCCCACTGTAGAAAACTCTTTTAGTGGGCTTTCGTCGCTTCTCCCGGATGGGCACTGGGAGATATGAGGACGTACATATAATGTACTGACACCTATGAATGTCTACATCCTGATGCTCGTATAGCAAGCTCACCGACCGACCGGACATCATTAGGATCAGATTCGGCTTGGGGGCTGTCCCAGCAGGAGCAGATTTCCAACGTGCCGCTTTGTGGCCTGACAGCTAGGAGCTTTTCAGACCTCAGATGAATTGCTTTTGAAAGGTCATCAAGATCCTTGAGCTCGACGACTTGTTGTCTCTAGTTTCTTGTGTACATAATAAGTAGTCAATGTACAACTAACAGTCGGCATCAAAATGATTGAAATATTTACCCGATTTCCTGGCTAATTTATTTACTGAGAATAGAACTTATAATAACACAACACGTAAATTCCTTAAAAAAACTTTTTTTTTTTTTAAAATTCCAGGGAAAATATGCACTTCATTCAGGTTTTCATGATATTTGTGCTGCCCCTGACTTTGGCGCAGTCACCAGAACTCACGCAAAACCAGGAGGCCCCCCGTAGGTATAACCATACGGCAGCAGAATTATACTATGTAAGTAACGAGAATATTGCAAGTCTTAAAGTGAGTGACAAATTTTGGTTGTTAACTTATATATTACAATTAGGGTCTTTAAATCTGAGACATAAAAGTAGACGGTGTTTGGGAATTATGTGTTAATAGTTGTCAAAAGTATTTATACGGTAATTTAACAAGAGAATACAGAAATATAAATGGGTAGTAATTAGTTGTACTTATATGCTGATAAATATATTGCGTTAAGGTGTGTTCATAAAGTGTTATGGACGGCTGATGTAGTGGCGTTTAGAAATCGTTTAATTTGCGCAATCCTCGGAAATGTAAATGCATTGCGTTTAGAAGAAACTATACTGATTCTGAAATTGGGATATGGAAATAGATTGCGTTAAGAATTACTTATACAGTTTCTGAAACTGGAATTCTCCTCGAATTTTAAAAGAAAATTTGTTCAAATTCTTAGTTGGTTGGACGTGATAACAAAACCACAGATTTACTTTTATTACATGACATTACAGCTGATTATAAAACGGCAGCCATTTACGTATAACTGGGCTACGACTAATCTTTTTGAAAACACATTGTGGTAAACTTACTCACACTTTTGAAGGATACATGCAAATAATGATATCTTTGACTTTGGTGCAGCTGCGAGAAATCTTTCGTCTCAGACATCACCAAAATGACACACAATTAGACGAAGTAAGTAACCAGAAATTTCAAGTTTAAATGTGAGTCACATATTCTGTCTGTTAAATTATACATTACAATTAAGGTCTTTAAATGTGAGTCACATATCCTGTCTGTTAAATTATACATTAAGGTCTTTAAATGTGAGTCACATATCCTGTCTGTTAAATTATACATTACAATAAAGGTCTTTAAATGTGAGAAAATAAAGATTGGTAGCGTTTGAAAAACTTAGACGGTGTCTGGAAAATATTTATATATAAATATTAGTTAAAATTTTTATACGGTTATTTAACTAGAGAAAGCAGAAATAGAAATATGTGGAAATTAGTTGTACTTATTTGTTGATCAATATATTGCGTTTAGATGTATTCATAGAGTGTTTAGGACGACAGAAACAGTTGCGTTTAGAAATCCTTTAAGTTGTGTGATCTTTGGAAATGGAAATATATTGCGTTAGAGGCACTTACACTGATTCTGAAATGGGGAAATGGAAATAGATTGCGTTAAGAATTACGTATACTATTTCTGAAACTGGAAAATAGAAATGGCTGGCTAGTAGACGTACTTTATATGTCGTTCAAATCTGGGTGTTCCGTATGGTTTGTTTGAAATGCTAAACTTTTCAGAAAGTACAGATTCTTAGGCACGGCTCACACGATCAAATTCCTTTCAAGTTGGTTTCAAATTCGCGTCACATTTGAGGTATGAAGGCTCTATTATGTGTGTGGATTATGTTTCCTCCTCGGATTTTTAAAAAAATTTGTTCAAATTCTAAGTTGGTTGGACGTGATAACAAACCACAGATTTACTTTTATCACATGACATTACAGCTGATTATAAAACGGGAGCCATTTACGTATAACTGGGCTACGATTAAACTTTTTGAAAACACATTGTGGTCAACTTACTCACACCTTTGAAGGATACATGCCAATAATGATACTGAAAGATTTGTCACAATTGAAACATAAGCGTGTTGAATTCGAATGCTCTTTTGTTTCTGTGCTGCTATGTTCCTAAACAGTTCGATATTTATTGAATAGTGTCAGTCTGAGTCTTAAATATACGGAACATCAAATGTATCGAGCATTATGATGTTTCACTGGGTCTACGATTTTGTAGGCCCTATTCGGTTAAAGACAAACATGACTTCTTTATTCCAAATTTTTATACAAATTACAATTTAATATTTTTAACTGTAATATATTTTCATTTTATTGTTGTACACAGTCCCCCCTACCTCCCTCCACTGAAGATCACTTTAAATCAGAGGTTCGCAACCCTGTGCCCGCGGGTGCCATGGCGCCCGCGGAACGATTCGTATGTGCCCGCCTCTCACTATTCGACAGAGCATAATTTTGTTCATAAACATTATTTTAAAATATGATTTATTTTTATTCATTTGTTAGAGTTTTAATTTTTTTTTGACTGCCTAGGTTTATTAAATATGTTCGATACTTGTCCCAACTTGTCTAGCGGCGAGCCAGACTGCACTATTTACGCTAGCCTGGAACGGCTAGTGCCATTTGCACATCACACCTTGTACACGCAGAAAACCCGAAGTGAACGAATGGAACGAACGCCACGAACTGATCCGATAAACGCCGAAGGCGCCAAATCACAAGGCACATAACTCTGATTGCTTCGGCGATCATCGGCTCACTTCGGGTTTTCCGCGTGTACATGGAGTGATGCGCAAAAAGCATTCCCCGCCTGGAACCGCGTTGTTGTCATTGTGATTGCTGCACTGTTCGGGTCGCGACAGTTAGATAAGAGACATGTTCGTCAGATGAAACAAGAATTCGGAGTTTTCTATAAAAAAAAATTAACAGGCTAAAAGCGAGGTGCGTAATTTATTGTATTCATAAGCGATGATCTATTAATAAACTATTATTATTGAGGAGATAGTTATAGTTCTTGTTATAATATATTTATGCATATAATGCAGAACAGACTTGCGCTATAACATTGATATTATATTGTAGTTCAATTATTATTTTTTTTATTATTTATTTTAGCCCTAAAATGAGTGGACCAAGTAAAAGACAAAGAACCTATAATTTTAACACTGACTGGGAGGAATTATATTGTTTCGTTAATTTGAAAAATAAATGCGTTTGTTTGTTGTGTGGTAGTAGCATTGCAGTGCCGAAAAAACATAACGTTGAACGACACTTTCAGACAAATCATGGCACTTTTAATGTGAATTATCCTCTTAAATCTGAAGTAAGAAAGAAACAAATTTGTAATCTAAAATCAAGTCTAACAGCACAACAGACTGTTTTCACTAGACATGTGGAAAATTCTAAAAAGGCCACTATTGCTTCTTTCAAAATATCTCACATGCTCGCAAAAAAGAAGAAACCTTTCATTGATGGTGAGTTGTTTAAGGAACTATTTTTGACTGGTGCCGATTGTTTGTTTGATGGATTTTCTAACAAACGTGAGATTGTCTCAGCAATACAAGACTTACAGTTGTCAAATAACACAGTCACAAGAAGACTACATGCAATTTCAACAGAAATACAAACTCAGTTAAAAACTGACTTGGAAATATGTGACTGGTTCTCGCTACAATTTGACGAGTCAACAGATATATCAGACACCGCGCACAGTTAGCAGTTATGGTGAGAATGGTGTTTAGTAACTTCACAGTAAAAGAGGATATGTTACAAATATTACATATGAAAGGACAGACAAGGGGTGAGGATATTTATAATACATTCAAAACATACGCCAAGTCAATAAATATGCCTTTGCACAAGCTGTCTGCAATTACCACTGATGGGGCGCCAGCAATGATGGGTAAAAACAAAGGATGAAGGATGATTCATTTTCAAACTTCATGTCCTACCATTGTATTATCCACAAGGAAGCTCTGTGTTGTAAAATTTTGCCATTTGAACACGTCATGAAAATAGTTACAAAAATAATCAATTCTATTCGAGCAGCTCCTTTGCAACACTGACTTTTCAAGGCCCTGTTAGAAGATACTGGAGATAAAGAACATGATCTTATTCTGCATACTGAAGTACGTTGGTTCAGTAAAGGAAAGGTTCTTACAAGATTTGTGAGTTTAATTGAAGAAATAAAAACATTTATAAACGATAGAAAGAAAAAATTATGATGAACTAGCTGTCTCTGATTTGGCTGATTGATTTGGGATTTCTCACAGACATCATGGAAAAATTGAATTCTTTAAATTTGGAGTTGCAGGGTAAAGACAAAAGCATAGCTGAAGTGATAAGCTCTGTAAAGTCATTTAAAGCTAAATTGGATTTGTTGATATCACATCTGCAGATCAATTCTCTCGTGCATTTCCCACATATGAAGAAAATGCTAGGTGACAATGAATTAAATGGGACATTATTTATTAAGCATCTTCAAGAGTTAAAACAACAGTTTGAAGAGAGATTTTTGCAGTTTAAACATATTGAGCCAATAGTTTCCTTCTGTATCAATCCTTTTTACTTGCCAAATAAATGTTATGGAAATAGCCGCATGTATTGCAGATTTTGTTCAAGGTAAGACAGAAGAACTAGAGTTAGAAGTTTTGGACCTTAAGAATGATATTTTGCTAAAATCCTTAATGTCAGAGGACTTTTGGAATACAGTGGCTAGAGAAAAGTTCCCATTGTTGAAAAAAAGCGGCATATAAAATTGAATCATTTTTCTGTTCGACATATTTATGCGAATCATTGTTTTCAAACATGAACTTAATAAAATCAAGATATAGATCTCGACTCACCGATGAGCATCTTTATGATTGTCTGCTAACAGGATTATCGTCATACGCTCCTAATTATGAAGCTCTGGCCAATGAAATGCAATGCCTCAGATCACATTGACTTTATTATATTTTTTAATTAAATGTTTTCTTTGTATTTGTGTGCTTTGTTTACTTTCTTGACGTTGTGTAAATACATTTCTCTCTCTCTGTGTGTGTGTGTGTGTGTGTGTGTGTTTGCAATTTGAAAAAAAAAGCCAAATAATTTTATTATTTTGAAACATTTTTGTTTATTATTTATTAATACAATATGACTATAAGAAAATAAGAAAATAAATTATGGGAAAATGACAAGTTATGGAAGGAGTTTGTCGATTTAAAATAGGTGGTGCCCGCCACCCTACCGATATTTTAGAATGTGCTCTAGAGTAAAAAAAAGGTTGGGAACCCTGTACTAATGTATGGTGAGATATAGCTAGGGGTGTAATAAATCTGAGGTCAATCTACTAATATAAGGCGAGATATAGCTAGGGTGTAATAAATCTGAGGTCAAGCTACTAATGTCACCTAAGTCTTTCAATAAATAAAATGTACGAAAAAATTCACACAAACTAAAAAGATTACGACCCGATGTTAATGGGATGATTAATAATCGAGGGCGATTTGCGATATTTTGTAACTGCAATAAGTGAGATACGCGCATTACTGAAATATAAGAGCGACAATGTTTCAGCCCATAGAAATGTAATTTAGGAAATAGGAAAACAAACCTTATTTTTAAAAAAATCTATGTATAGCTTTTACGTTCTAGCACTATTTTGTTTGTAAAATATGTATCCACAATATAATTTTTGCAAACCCCACACATTTTGAGGATTCTGATTTATAAAAAAAAAAATTAAAAAAAAATTAAAAAAAAAAAAAACTCTTTCATTTTATTTAAACAAATAAGAGACAAAAATTTTAAATATCTGTAACATTAAATGAATTTGATATATTAATATCTTTATTAAAAGAGTAACAAAGTTTTCTCTACTACATTATCGGAAAATCGTAAAATAAATCTTGTTTTTTACAGTTATTGAAAATACGTTTTTTTTGTTTTTGTTTTTTTTGTTTTTGTTTTTTTTTTACAATTTTAAATAATGTTAAAATCAATATAGTGAGTTAAAATTGGACAATAAATCTGAAAGCTAGCTACAATACTAATCAGTGGTAGACATAGTGATATTTAAAACTATTTTCGTATCTGCAAAAAAAAAAATAGTTTAACATTGTCCGGTATTAAACATTTGATATCCTCTAAGAAAGGCATATTTTGCATTGGTTTTGTATGATTACGTGTGGGATGAAAATAGAACCAGAAATGTCCTTTAAAAAACACCCCCCTCCCCCCCCCCCCCAAAAAAAAATGAAATTGAATTATGACAGAATTTGGTTAAATCTTTGAAAACAAAAACTAATTAAAAATGTCAAACTGGTTCACGGGATTAAATGACAACTAAATATTTATAGTTTATATTTGAAAATAAATGAGGAAACATCTTAAACCTGTAGATAAACAGTTGCCTGAAATTCATCTTTTTTTTCTTTTTAAATGACATGGAAAGATCCGGTTTTATAAATGTTAACTTCTTATTTGATGAAACTTTATCATGATAAAATCAAGGCCATTGTTCAGATACTTAAAAAAAAAACCAAAACAACTAAACTTTTATCCTTCAGATTGATTACGGGAGTCATTCAGCAGTCCCCTTTACCAGGGAACGGTTCGTTAACGCCTACACCCATTCCCGTCGGCTAAATTCTACTTTGGCAACTTTATGGTTTGAAAAGTTTGACCGTAATGGCAACGATGTCCTAGATTTAGAGGAAGAACGCGTCTATTTGAGAATTTTCGACACGGACGGGAGAAGCGGCATCAGCGGTGAAGAATTTAGGAGGTGAACCAATTGAGAACCCTCTAAATCTTTTTTGAATAAACATTTTTCTAGATGCGATCTGAAGCTCCCGCTCTTGGTGGAGCTGTTTAGAAATGATATTAAATCGATCAGTTTTTTTTGGGGTGCTTTCATACCTTATACAATTTTGTTCACGGTATCATACACGACCAACATACTCAGAGACGAGGCCTAAAAAAACATTGTTTACAATAGCGCTTTAAACATGGCAGTGCTCATTAGGAGTAGTTCAACTTGAAGGTTCTAACATTTTTTAGAGATACAGTGAAGTCAAAATTAGTTGGGAAGTGCAAATTAATTGATGAAAGACTAGACGGGTTCCATTCATTTTCTTAGTTGGGACACAAACACTAACTGATTGAGGGCAAAAACGGTTTCAGTCCATCTGTCTACCTTTTAACCTTGAATCGATTTTTTTTTTGTACACAGATCGTTTCTATTGGGAAAAACACATACTATTTTGAATACACTTTTAAGACGTTTACTTCATCCAATAAACTGGTTTAAAATACTTAATTCATTCAAAGCACATTATTGCAAATAATGAAGCCATCAATGGAGATTATTGAAAATACGAAAGCCAAACAATGCACATTTTCATAAACACATTTTCAGGTTAATGAAACACTCACCAATTCAATGAGCTTGTATACCTTCCGTTTCAGAGGTTATGATTACATGACTAACAACGCTACCGAATTGTTTGGAAATTGAACAGTTGCTGCCACAGGTCATCCCGAACGACATTAGAAAACTATAACACAGATGAACATTTTTTTTGAAATTTAACTAAAAATGAAAACAGTAACAATAAAATTAAGAATCGCAAAGAAATTTTTTTTTTTGTTTTTTTTTTTTTGTTGTTGAAATTTAACTAAAAATGAAAACAATAACAATAAAATGAACAATCATAAAGAAAAAATTCTTCTTACAGTTTTTTGTCTCCCCTGTATGTCACATGATTGTGAGCACACGTGCCTTCTCACATGATTGTGAGCACCTCTGTCTTCTCACATGATTGTGAGCACCCCTGTCTTCTCACATGGTAGTGAGCACCCCTGTCTTCTCACATCGTTGTGATCATCCCCTGTCTCATCATGGTTGTTAGCGACCCTACAACGTCACACTTATTCAACTAATATCTTTTTAAACTTATTCCTTTTATAGAAACATGCCAGCCTTGTTATGAATCAATTTGATTATTTTCTATCTATTTAACATCATTTTAATGTAAAGTACTTTGCTCGGAGAATTAAGTAATGCATTTGGTGGTTTGAGAGTTGTTATGAACAGACATGTCCGGGCATTTAGCAGACATTTTATTCTGTGAAAAGGGACCTCTTTACGTTAAGACCATAGCTTATCAATCAAATCATCAATTTCATCAATATGAGCAAAATTTGCAAGTGAATTCAAAGTTATTTCAGAAAAAAATAAGTTTTTACAAAAACAGCACATCATTTCCATTTATTTGGTCATAGCGTCATAATTTAGTGAGTTCATCATTTCATCTGTTACATTTTGAACAGTTATTTTTTTCACTTTCTTATCATCTTCATCAGTTCATCAGTTGTTATGGACATTTTTTCATCAGTTAATCTGTTAATCTCTTCGACTTTTCATCATTGCATTTGATCATCTGTTCATTAGTTTATCTGTTCATTTAATCAACTGTTCATCCCTTCATCTGTTCAATAGTAAATTTGTTATTCTGTTCATCTGTTTATTATTTAATTTCTTCATTTCCGTTAATATGTAATCACGCATACTGGGATGAGGAGCTGATCAGGCTCAGAGAGCAATAGAATGTCATAAATGCAAGGAGGAGGAGATGAACACATATACGAGGGGGGAGGGGGAGGTGAAAAGCTGAGAATGTTCACAGGGAGGTAGAGCTGATCTCGTGGTGATCACGTTTTCAGCACACTATGAGTAAAAAAAATACGACATTATTATTGATTCAAATCAACGGAAATGTGTTTTGACAAAATTGTTTGTAAATTTACTTTCAGCATATTATCAATATATATAATATAACAGTACATTTTAAATTATGACTAAATCCAATCAATGAATCTTCTTGTGACTTATTCTATCTAATCTTCTCTTTACTTATCTTATGTAGTCAATTTTTCCACAGTGGACAAAACTCATCGTTTGCCAAACTTCAAATTCAATCATGAGCACAAAATCCTTTACTCGAAAATTTTGTAATAAACCAAAATCGGGATCCCACCTGTTACGAACCCAGTTCTATCCAAAGGTGCAATGGCTTCGTTCGGTCTAGGGGTGTAATGTATTTTACTTCAGAAACTATATTATATACTTACAATTAAATATCTTTATTAAACAACTGACCTACATCCTGAACTGCCATTACTCACAAGCCGACAACACAAATATATTACGTCATATCCCCTTTCACGAAATACGTCACAACATACTAAGAATAATAGATAAAACAACACATAATAACAAGATAGATAGTCCTTAACCCCCCCCCCCCTCCGGGCTTCGTTTGGCATTAATTTGAAAAAGTCTTGTCACCCACAAATACATATCTCAAAATTTGTCAATAAACATCAAATAATAATCCCCTTTCACGAAATACGTCAAAACATACTAAGAATAATAGATAAAACAACACATAATAACAAGATAGATAGTCCTTAACCCCCCCCCCCTCCGGGCTTCGTTTGGCATTAATTTGAAAAAGTCATGTCACCCACAAATACATATCTCAAAATTTGTCAATAAACATCAAATAATAAACAAGAGTAAGTGCAAAATGTAGACCAATCAATTGCAATATTACATTTTAATTGAAGCGACATGTATTAGAAACAAACTTATAACACATTGCCACACCAAAATGTTTAACTAACCTAGCATCTTTTCAAAACTACATCCTAAATATGAAAACTTCAGGGCTAAACTTTAACTTCTGTCATTTAAAATTTCATAAACTTTTATCAAATGATGAAAAAATTATTACATAGACAACACAATTGTTATCCCGCACACAGAAATTGACCAGAAAACAAACTCTGCCTGTTAAAGGGCTAAAAAGATCAACATCTCTCGGCATTGTGGACATCCCTCAACTGTCCAGTCCCATTTTCACATTTAAAGAGGGCGGGATCTTACGCCTGTCAGTCGCTTGACAAAAGGCGTGCACATTTTTCCAGCAGCTGATCTCTTCCCTCTCAATTCTCACAGCTAAACTCTTCCCTCTCAATTCTCACAGCTAAACTCTTCCCTCTCAATTCTCACAGCTAAACTCTTCCCTCTCAATTCTCACAGCTAAACTCTTCCCTCTCAATTCTCACAGCTAAACTCTTCCCTCTCAATTCTCACAGCTAAACTCTTCCCTCTCAATTCTCACAGCTAAACTCTTCCCTCTCAATTCTCACAGCTAAACTCTTCCCTCTCAATTCTCACAGCTAAACTCTTCCCTCTCAATTCTCACAGCTAAACTCTTCCCTCTCAATTCTCACAGCTAAACTCTTCCCTCTCAATTCTCACAGCTAAACTCTTCCCTCTCAATTCTCACAGCTAAACTCTTCCCTCTCAATTCTCACAGCTAAACTCTTCCCTCTCAATTCTCACAGCTAAACTCTTCCCTCTCAATTCTCACAGCTAAACTCTTCCCTCTCAATTCTCACNCCCCCCCCCCCCCCCACCAAAAACGGAACTATAATAGTTTTAAAATTTGAGCACTCCTGGTTCTCATGATCATATATATAGATATGTATATATATATATATCACAAACATGAACATCCAAATAAATTTTCTCTCCTACCCCCGTCTCATGGGAAAAACTCACACCCTTCAAATAATGTTCATAATCATGATTAAAAATATTAACCTTAGTGCCCCCACCGTTCTCAAACCTCCAGTAACCAGTGTCTCCCACACAATAAAATTCACTGACTTGACTACTACCCTCAAAGCTCCATGTAAGGTGATCTCCAATGACCACCATTTTGTTGAACTTACGCCCCCTTGACAAGCTCACCACCTCTACAACATCTCCCTCTTGCACAAAATCAACATTCCCCTGCTGTAGAAAATCAAGCTATCTCTCTTGCACATTAACAACATGTCTCTGTTGTTCAATTTCGAAACCCTCATAGTGTGCAATTACCAAAGCTACACCTTTTACATCATCAACAGCGCCGTCTAGTATTTCCCCAGCATCCACATGCTGTACGTTACAATAATACGACCTGCACACCATCACAATGCAGATCTTTTTCCTGGGCATTATCGAATGTCACATCTACAGTCTCCATGACCAAAATAACACCTTCATAACTACAATGTGCTATGCTTACATTGAGTACCACTACGTCCAAGTTCTCACAATCAGCCCTCAGTTTTTCTACATCCTGGCTAGCAAAATTCCTAACTGACTCTTGACTATCGGCTACAGTAAAAAAAATCCTAGGCTCCTTAATCTCAACGATATGGTCATTTGAATTTACCTCGATAATCGTCACTATAGATAGTTATGTCCCCCTATCCTCAGTTAGTTTCGCATTATATTCCTCGGGATACCTAAAGTTCCACTACAACGTCAATATTATTTTCCTTAAGCTCATTTTCAAAAATGATTTTATTCTTTTCAACTTTCACCCACGGCCTCCCTGTTTCGTTCTAGCTTAGCTTGTTTATCTCGATCTTTATCCATCTCCTCCCAATCTAGCTTATATTTTTCTATCAGTTTCCTTTCCACCAACCTAGTCAGAGCCTTGTCTTTATCACCCAGGTCCTCTACAAACTCCCTTAGTTCTATGATCAATTTTTTCATTTACACTCGTGGTTTCCATGTTTTAAAATAATAAATTTAACAACCAGAATATTGCGAAAAACCAGTCTAAAACAATACAATTAAATATATTATTTAACACAAAATTTATAAATATATATATGTACAGAAATAAAATTCTTAATTAACTAAAAAAAAACGTAAAGAAAGTAAGTAACTTAAGTCTTTATCTTGTTCATCATGGGTCTCTGGACTTGTCACTAGTGTGTTGAAAGGACAGCGGTACACAGTCAAATCGGGATACAGCACAGTGCGCTGCAGCATGCACGCACGACAGGATAGCGTAAAGTCCGCTCAATGGGGATGAAGAACTCCACGATACAGACCTAGCAGGATTCAGGACAAGCAGCTCACAGACACAGCAGCGTGCAGGAATGGCACGATACAGGACAGTGTAAAAACTGATCAATCAGGATTGAGGACAGCAGGATACGAACCCAGCAGGATACAGGACCAGCAGCACACAGATACATCAGCATGCAGGCACGGCAGGACATGGGATAGCATCAATAACGCTACATCGCGATGCCGCACAGTGATGAACGCTCACAGCGATCACAGGACCATCGGCATAAAATCACTCGATGCAATCCTCTCTAACAAGCCATTAAGAACCTCTCAAATGTTACGAACCTGGTTCTACCCAAAGGTTCGATGGCTTCGTTCGGTCTATGGGTTTAATTTATTCAACTTCACAAACTATATATTCTTACAATAAAATATTTTATTAAACAACTGAGCTACATCTTGAACTGCCATACAAGCCCACAACACAAATATACTACGTGATATCCCCTTTCACGAAACACGTCACAAGATACTAAGAATAAGAGATCAACAAACACACGTAAATCTCCCAACAACACGCAATACATTCAAGTGATAAACACCACCGTGATCGTGAAAACCACCTGGATTGAGGTGAATTTGATTAG